GGAGAAAGGCCCCGTGTCCCATTCCCTGCCCCCCTGAGCCAGCCAACCCCCCACCCCGGGGCTGGATCGGGGCCGTACCTGTGTTGTCCGGCATGGAGGCTTGGTCCGTGTTTCGCTCCTTGCGGAAGACGATGTTCCCGAACTGCAGCACGGCCGACACCATCCGCAACATGCCTGGGGGGCGGGGAGCCGGTGAGGGGGGCAGGGGGCCCTCCCCGTGGCCCCCCAGTCCCCATCCCACTCCTCCCACTCGGGGGCTTCCCCCCCTGCCACCCCAGATCCAATCCTACCTGATCCCCCAGATCCTGCCCCCCAACCTCAGGGTCCCTCTATCCCCCCTCCACTAGATCAACCCCACACAGGCTGCCAGTTCCTGGCCTGCCACCTCCCACACCCTGCCCCAGACCCCCCCCCCAGTTTCGACCCTCCTCTCCTAAGCCCCACTCTACATTGGCTTCCCCACCCCTCAGGTTTCCATCCCCATAATCCCCTCCGGGTACTAGCTGTGCCCCCCCCAGGTGGGGATCTGCCCCCAAACGGGGGGGACAACTCACTGTGGATCTCCTCGGGGGAGAAGCCCATGATGCGCATGGACTCCATGGTCTCCTGGAAGATCTCCTTGTCCTGCTGGCCCGGGATGGGCAGGAACCCGTTGGACAGGAACCGGTACTGGTTGAACGGCTCCAGCAGCAGCTCAGCTGCGGGGGAGACAGGGACGGGGTCAGCACCACGTCCGACTCGCCACCTCACGCCCCCCAGGACCAGCGCGGACGGGGGCAGTACCACGTCCAACTGGCCACCTCCTGCTAGGACCAGCAGGGGCAGCCTGCCCCAAGGAGCCCCACAAAGGACTGCTGTACTGTCTCAGCCCCCAGAGAGTGAGTCAGGGAGGGGAGTGGGGTCTAGAGCAGGGGGGCTGGGAGCCAGGACTCCTGGGTTCTCTCCCTGGCTCTGGGAGGGGAGTGGGGGCCAGTGATTAAAGCAGGGGGGCTGGGAGCCAGGACTCCTGGGTTCTCTCCCAACTCTGAGAGGGGAGGGAAGGGGGGTGTAGTGGTTAGAGCAGGGGGGTGGGAGCCAGGACTCCTGGGTTCTGCCCCGGTCTGGGCGGGCCGTGGGGGTCGCAGGGAGGCTCCGTACCCTTTGTGTTCTCGCCCGCCCCCACCAGCAGCTGGTAGAAGATGTGGAAGGTTCTCTCGTCCTTGGCCTGGCGGATGGCACGAGATTTCTCCAGCAGGTCTGAGCCCGGTGCTAAGGAAAGGGACGTGGGCCCTGGGACCAACCCCCCTCCCACAGGGGGGAGGAATCACCCCCAG